TTTTCGGTTTGCTCGAATGTCGTTCTACTGCAGTAAGTAAACCGTACAAAAGCGGTATGAAGATCCTCGTGGAATTCATTCGGTATACATATATACATAGATTGGCGTCATCTGTGTCCAATGGCAGTTCGAACGCGAGATATGTACATGCGTTTCTCCAAACTTAAGTGTGAGCTGTCCCAAACTGGATAGAGACACATTAGACATCATCATCAATGGTACGACAAACGTGTATGGGTTTCGTTTGGAGGTTAGGCTAACAACCACTTTTGCAGGTATGAGAATAACTACCCCATACGAACGGTTGATATTTGCTTCTACATTTAGACGTGACTGCCTTAAATCTTGGGCATCCATATTTGAAGGGATCCGATGTGGCAATAGTAAAGCAACTGCTAGGTAGAATGATGACTAGGCTATTGGTACAGTGAAATAGTGTGCACTTGGGTGTTGCCCTCTACATGTACAGTCTGGTTTGAGTAGCTGATGTGGGACATCACACAGCATACGAATGCGATACAGTGTCCACTTCTGGCTCTCTGTGTCTCCGACCGGTTCGGTCATGTGCTGCCCGAGGCATGTGCACCTACTCAAAGAACGATTGATGCGCAACCTTTGGTATTGACAAGTGACATCAACTAAGTCCCGCTGCTCACTGTCAAACATGCGACTTTCCAAACAGTGTTCACATTTATTGTGCAAATGTCCAAGTACTCAACCGTTTATACCTACCGACCTGTACTCTACTGTGGCCATAAGCTATTTGCTAACGGTCTATATCGTACGTTCCAGGTGCAGCCCATTCGGTACTCATAAAACCATTGTCCCTATGCGCCGATTCATTTCCGATGTTATATAATGACACACTGACGTGCCATTCCCGTTAGATGCAACCTTTTATTTAATCCATTCAAAAGATTGGCCATGTGCAATGCAACTTCTGATAGGCGTCTCTGCACGACTGCCTTCCATCCGGTTAATACGTGTGTTTTCATAGGCCCCCGGTAAATTCAGTATGGCTGAGGGATAACTGGAACTATAACTATACTCACTCTCTTCACTAGCCTTCGGAGTGGAACATGGAATGGCAATATCCTGATAATCGCTAGTCGGTTAATTGTCGGGATTGTTCACTTGACACAGTTTTTCCAGGGCAATTTCTCTTCGAATGCATAATCCAAAGTTGTCACACGAAGGACAATCGTTGAGCATTGTGTTACAAATGTCAAATTTGACATTTTATGCGTACTGTAAACGGACAACTCGACTATACATGTCTACATACACACGTACATACCATCATATATCAACATATGTGACAATCCTATTCTGCTGTACAATTACAGATCCTATTTTGTACTCTTACTATGATCATGCTTGTGCTGGCGTACCTCGCGTAGTCGAGAACAAACATGTTATTTATTCACTTATTTATGTATTGTCGCCCAATAGCTGAGGTGTTTCCCACCTTCAGTCCTCGTGCAATGGCCATACTGATCTACCATTCTCACTTATTTCACGTCACCATCAGGAATATGGCTCATCTTTTTGAGTACCGAAGCCGTTCTGAGACGATTACTGCCATTGCGTGAGAATAATTCTGCTGCGAACAACTTACTTCCAAAGTCATTAAAACTTGCTGCTTGAATCTTGGCCGAGCCGTTGCTTCGATTTTTCTTACCTTGTCTCGGCGACACTCAGTTTAGCGCTATGGGGAAGTGTGGAATATTCACACCCATTTTCATGGGGGAACCGTGGGAAACTTACAAATTACTACCTAATAACACGCTCGCTGGTTTCTTCTAAGGTCAAAGTTTGTCGTTGCCGAAATACTTCTAATGTATTTGGAAAGATGCATTATCATTAAAGACCCGAATTTTTCGTGATGGTGAAACATGTTTTCCGCGATCGGATTTAAACATCCAGCGACATTTCTGCGGTGCAAACATTAACTTCCGTGCTTTCACCACACAATCGAAAATAAATTGAGATCAAGACACCTTCTTCCACTATCTACATGTCAGTCGTGATTCAAAACAGAGGAATTGAAATAAAACCCAACAAGGCGTTTCATGCTACCCTCTGAAAGGTCGTGACGTTTCTCAGGCCCAACACTTTTGTGGTCGCTATAGCACCTTTCAGCATCTATCTAATTCACGGGAATGCATAGATAACGGTCGGCGAGGTCTACAAGTTGTGGAGTTCTCTCATGCATCCCGTATCAGAAGACCAGTATGTCTTCACATTTTTCTCTTTGAACTTCGATTACTTTTCTGTAGATTAACTACTCGGCTGCCAGAGCTGGGGAGATAACCAAGCCTGAAACATCGACATACTTGCATGCATCACTGGGCAAGATTATGAGCTGGTTGGGGTCGAGTACTCTAATGGCTTTCACAAGCGGTCAGCTAGCCTGCCATGTCCGCAAATCATGGACTGTTATGGCAACTTGGGATAAGCAAAGTTATATGTCAGTCTGGATTTTGCTAGACGCATCATAGGTGGGTCCCTCTGTCTGCAAACGTTGCAGCCAGCTTTCTTCAGCGGTAGTTTTCAGCGACGTAGATAGATCAGAGAGGTCGTCGTAAATCTTATCGGTGACCGGAGACTGACTCTGCAGTTTTCAGTTGACGGATGATATTTTTTCCAACAGCCGTAATGCAATGCAGTTGCCATCTCAAAGCTTTCGGTGTTTTTTCCTTCGTTAGACTATCCACCAGTTCACAAACATACATACACACACTATACACGTTAGCTAGAGGTGGAAAACATCTCAGCTACTGTGCCGCAATACGTAAAAGAAAAAGGGAATAAAATGCAATAGGTGCACGCCAGCTGAGCTACCGGTAACGGATGCGCATCGTTCCGGTAAGCTACCTGCCGCCTACTATATAGCAGATAAATAATTTCCTATGCAAAATTATGAAATGCTAAATGATGAGGTCGTAGTTGGAGGGGAGGCTAAGAGGTTTGGGGTGGGACAAAGGAACTCACAACACGAATGCCACTGAAGTCAACTCCTAGCCATATCAACAAGTGTATCCAGCCAAACGTGTTCATCGTCTTTCGGGCCCCAACCAGGGAGTCGAGACGCTCCAACTAAGGCTAGCTTCGAAGTGAGGGCCTTCATTGCTCTCGACGAAGTCATCGCTTGGCCACCTCTCTTCTTCTTCCATCCACATCCATATTCTGCTTGTCTGAGTTAAGATGGCATGGGGCTTCGAGGAGTTTAATCGTCGACCTGGTAGCATGAGGCGTGGATGCTGAGTGCTTTCTGCCTCTTTCACTCTACTGGCTGGGTTCTAGATCATCCATACATTACAGGAGGCAGTCGTAACCTCTGAGGCCAAACCTTTTCTTTAAACGTTTATAACATGCTTGCTAGTGGAGGATGAGCAGTTAAAATCAATCATCCTGGTCCACCGTCGTCACCCATGGCTCAGCGGCATAAGTCCCTGAGTCGTATGGGTAAGATCATGGGTTCGGATCCGGTATGATCCGACAGATACGCTTTATTTATTAGTCCCATTAGGACGAAACGGCCGTCTAGCCCTTTCCTGGATGTGTGGTGACTCTCTGCGACGAATCTTCACAAAAACCGTATAAATCGCCCTACTACTCACTAATAAACGATGTTGTGGCTGGTGGAGCAAAACCTGTTCCCCATAACCATTCTACATGCCTCCGCAGTTCCTCCATGTTATCATTTGCATTCGTTAATGCTGCGTCCCCACAGATGCATCGTGAGCGCACATAATGCCATTGATACCACAGAATCCACATCGTACCTGCATCCGGACGTATTCAATCGAAAGATATTGATAGCTAGTCTCGCAGAAACTTTCTCTCAAAGTACGCAGAAGGGTACCACCTGCCCATGCCAATTTTTCTTCTCTTGATCTCGTTCCCGTTGTCTCATCACAAATTCTTTCTGTTGTTAACTATACCTAACTCGTCATTCAGACAAAATATCTCATTTCGTATCGTTTCCTTCAAGGTTTGCATCCTGTGCCACATTCGCTAACATACAGCGCTCACTTCTCCCTATTAAGCTAGAAATGTGGTGTGTCCAAAACATCGACGCAGTCCAACAGTATCTCAAATGCTCTTCGACTATCTCCTAGGATTCTCGTGCTGATGGTGTTGCCGAATGCTGTTGATTCTTCTCGCCTTCAGAGGATGGAGTTCCTGCGATCTGCCTTGTACGTGGTTCGAGATTTTGCAACGCATGCCTCGCACTCAAAACCAGTTTCGGGCTTTCTGTCGTCTGCTAGTCGGACTGTTTGTTTAGATTGCGATACAAGGCTGTTTATAATGCGAACAATGCAAGCTTTTAGGGAATTGTCTCACTGGCACAGCCTTCTCTTACAGCTTAGGATATGGCGCACAATCGAAACCACTGGAAAATCGGTGTGCCTTTTTGTTTATATTCAGATGCTTAACGCCTAACACTTAAAAAACATGAAAACATGGCGTGTGAACGTATAACAAAAATGCTTCCGTTCTTCTTGCGACACAGTAGCTGAAGTGTGTTGCTCACATTCAACCAATGTGCCTCAATGATGATGCTGCGGTGATTCTACTTGTCATCCGTGGAATTCCATAGTTTTGTTTGGCCTCTGAATAACGTTTCTTCGGAACTTGCCAGGTGCATGGAACACATTGAGTTTAACCCGAACTTACACGCGTGTTTCCAATCATTACTCTGTACCAAGCACTTATGGGTATGTTATTTCATACAGCTATCTAACATGGTATCAATAGACCTGTTGGGACCATGTTAGTATAGTTAGGAAGCCTGTTATCCCTCGACTATTGTTTGTCAGTCATCCACTCTAGATAATCATTTACAAGCGCTTCAGACATGTCCACTTCGGCTCGTGAAAACAAACGACTTCCGAGCGCCATAACATGTTGGCTTGGTAACCAGTCTCCGTTTGCCCTTTTTGTTCTTTAGTGGATAGTGGTCAACGTGTTTAGTTGGGTGAGATTAACAAGAAATGCTGGAAAATGAAATAACGTTTGTTGTGGTTGTTTGCGCACGTGATGCCTATTCTATCGCCACGCCAGTTGTCGGACTAGTGGAGTTGCTCCTGTTCACAAATGTATCCGTTGTCGAATCCAAATCCATTTCGCCTTTGAAACTACGAGTATGCGATTGTCGGGTTTTGGAGTACCCGACAGTCAACTTCTAACCAATGTATCAAGCTCTGTTCGGTTAGCTCATTTGTCTAGTGCTCATGGCGGCAGCTGCCAATCTCTATGTGCCCAGTTCCACTCCCATTTCAGGCTATCTCTGCCAGGAAAAACGCATCGTGTAGTACAGGAATAGGAGCGAGAGCAACACCGACGACAACTATGCGAAATGTGCTGTGCGTGGATTAGACCTGGTGCGCAAAGTGTGTCAGGCGTAAAACTCCCCATTTAACGACGTAGTGCTTCGTTTCGCCCGGTTGAACATCATTCACAGTGGTACAGCTTTGCTCATTCCAAGCTTGATTTACACCGGTTGCTGCTTACGGGTGTGTCCATCTAAAACTGCCGCAACACAGTCTAGACAGAATGCCACACAGAAACCGATAAACTGATACGCATCTAACGGATCACCATCCGACATCACTTGTTTTTTTTTTGGGGGGGGGGACTAGAAATGTTCAGCGTATTGATAAATGAAGGTGATCTGTTGTCATGCCTAAAGGTGGGGCGTTTCCCTAGTTCTCCAATATCTGTGATATTAATATCGCCCATATTATCTAATTTTAACGCTGAGAAGTAATAGCTATGGATTCTCACGGTTCTTCTCGGTTCACAACTTATCGTTTAACAATAAATAACTTCTGTGATGATCAGTTTTGTACTTCAAGCGAACAAAGCGTTTGACTAGGGTCTTGTTTCAAAGGCGCCACATTATCGAATTCCTGGAATTCAACCGTCTCGCTATGAAGACTCATGTTGCGGAAGCGACAGTTGCACGCTAAATTTTGTGTGGATATGATAAAAATCATTCACATAAAGGGATTTTTGTACTAACTACATCAAACCTCTTGCTCCACTCGCAAGGAATCCAACGTTGTCAACCTAGCGTTTGTTAATTTGGGGTTTCGTTGTAATTGACCTTCCGCCTTTGAGTTTAATCGAATGGCAAACCCAGTAGTATAAGCCCACTTTACAAGGTAGTTTGGTTGGACATACCTTCGAGGCCGTCGTAGATACGCCCACTATTTTGTTTGAGTAGATCTTTTCTTCAGCTCTAAAGTAACTGACGGGAAATCTTCCTTCATGCCTCATGCGTAATGTTATGTGTTGTTGCTAAGTTCAGAGTAATACCATAAACAATGAGTGTTCAGCTTCTTTCTTGCTGGTTCCAATCGTTTGGCCTGACACTTTACTAGTTCGCTAGTGCGTGATCCTGACACCATATCCATGTTACCTGAAACTCGTGATGTAATCAAATGATGCACTTTGTAAACCACCAAGTCCATCAGTCCTCGCCCCTCTACCCACTTGTGAGGCTTAGACTGCACATAGACTGATTGTGTCATTTCATCCGCACTTCTAACTTTGCGTACGAGAATGCTGAAACTGACTAATGGACCGAATCAAGGTAGTGTGTGTGTGTGTGTGCCCTCTTCGCTAGTGGGCCGCTGCGGTCGATGATATCAACGCTTAAGGAGCTTTCTTGAAATAGCTCAGTGGACCATCAGCGATAACCTACGTTTGGCTCCTCCCCTTATTCTAACATCTTTCTGTCTACTTCTGATACACGGTGTTTATTCATTTCTTTCTCTGTTTCTTAACCTTTGTTACTTGCCATTATCGCTTCTGTGCGAGTGACGACACTATGGCCATAACTTATTAAGCAAACCGAATTGAGATGGTATCGCACCTGGCTCGCCGAATAACCTCTCTGTGGTGCCATCTGGGTGGTTCGGGTAAATCTCCTTCCAGCAAATGGCTCAGCAACAGTGTTTCAGGACGTGATGGGTTTCTACCTGGCAAACTTTCTTCCCATAAAATACCACAACTGTTTGCATACCAACACTGTGACTTGGCGGATGAGACTCTCCACCAAATAAAGTCACACTGCTCCTTGCCTATCCAAACGATCTTACCCAACCTGCAGACGTCGTTCATCTACCTTGAGGAATTCCTACGACCATTTTGCACTCTGACCATCTGACAGAACATAATCACAAATCTAGCAGCACATTTACAAATACAACTCATACTTCTACACCCACATACCTTCATATCCTCGGTTGGATAGGTAACTTCTTGCTTCAACGACATCTGAATGTAAGAGTTCGCTGCGTCATCTCTGACCCAATCGACGTTAAGTGCGGAGTGGCCCAGAGCTCAGTACTTGGTCCACGACTATTCCTGATTTACATAAACTAGCTCGCGACAGTAATCACCTCCAACTCCTTACTGTTCGCTGATGGCAAGCCATTATAACAACCAGCGACAATGAAGCACTTCAGGATGATTTTGACAAGGTCTACGAATGATCAACTCAGAACCTGCTTCAGTTCAACGCTACAAAAGGTCAAGGTGTTGAGCATACGCCGTAAAACCACTTGCGAATACGGACTGGGGGATAAAATATTGCAGCGTACTTCAACGGAATGCGATCTAGGCGTGATAGTACAGGAAGATCTGGGCTGTACCCGTCAGGCCGAGAAAACCTCCACAAAGCTAACCGACACCTTGGACTTTTGCGGAGGGCATTCGGGCGCTTTGATCCTTCCATCTTTTCTCAGATACTCAACGCCTACATCCGGCCTCATTCTGAGTACGCCATCCACACCTGGCAGTTATGGCAAAAGCAAGATCTTACCGCTTTTGAACTACCACAACGAAGGGCGACCAAAAACGTAAAGGGCCTGTTTCATCTCCCTTACCGATTGAGACTGAAAGCCCTGGGGATCTACAGTGGACAATATCTGTGCCTGCGTGGTGACTTGATAATGACTTATTTGATCCTGAGGAATCCAAACCATTCTTGTCATCACCTACTAAAGCTGAGTCGTAATACCACACTCAGAGGACACCAGCTAAAGCCGGCCACAATACAGCCGGTTAGGATGTCGCCGAAATTTCTTTTCCCTTCTTTCGTGCCAACACTGGAACGCTCTTCTCACATACGTTGTTTCTTCCCCCACGCTAACAGTATTCAAAAGACGCCTGGATGATTCGCTCATCCACTTACATTACGCTACATAATTAGTGATGTGTACGTCAACCAAACGCGACCAAACGGTGCACATTCTCAGCTTTTGTGCTTTACTACTTACACGCTGCTGCTGCTGTGGAATATCGTTCCGATATACTACAACTACATTCCTAAATTACATCGGTTCGAGAAAGCGACGCACGAGTAAGCGTTGTCGTTCCTTTTGTTAAGATGTACCTTCCCCATGTTACTTCCCCATATTACTCTACAGTAACAATTCACTATGCATTCTAAAATGTTTATATGAAGAAGCGCATCTGAATCACTAGACGCTTAAATTGACGCTTTACACTTTCACTTTAATCCTACAGGACTTGTAAAGCAATCGCTTTTTCACCTGTAATATATCATTGTTCAAATATGTACTCATGCGACATAAATTCGCTGTAACAGGTGAAGTTGTAACGTTTCTGTACATTTCCCGATCATTTGTGTAGCCTTGCTCTGGCCACGCCTGCGAAGACTTGTCTCGCTTTGTCGAGAATATACCCTTTATTTATTTATTTATTTAAGGACAGTTGAATTATCTACCCACATTCGTTCTTAGCCGACTTCATCAAACTGTTGGTTCCATCGATTTTTTCCGTGTGTAGTGGTACTTGTGTCTTACATCTTTTTCGGCACTTGTGCTTTGTCAGATTATCATCCGCTCAGTTACTTACCACACAACTTCATCGGTCGGTGATCAGAAGGATAAAGCGTTTGTCTTGTACTCCGATGGTCACCAGTTTCAATCTGCTTGGGGACGATCTACCTCATAGAATACCTGACCTCAGGCAGAGCAACGAAGCGTCGATATGGCATGCCGGTGCATTGTCGTGCTGTCTTCTTCTGGACACGATCAGCAATATGGTGGTCAGTCGGCTGCGTGTATAGTTCTTCGAACTGCATCATTAGATCGAACCGCAAGTTCTAATTTTGTCCAACAGAATTGGGACTGTGATGGGGAGGTTTTAGGCATAGATCCATTCAGTGGTGAAGAGGATGATTTATGCCGTCCCCTTCAGATTCTTTCTTAGTCGATACACGTCTACCAAAAGGACTGGGTTCAGTTGCTTCTGTTAACCACCTTATCCCCAAGTGGATGATTTCGTTGTGGGTCTCTCCCACCCGTGCACTCTACGATCGACCGTTTCGTCCTGGTTTGAACTCAACTGGTGCATATAGCCTGCATTGGGAGTGCAACTCGGCACATAGTGGCTGGCGTCTATCGCCATGATCACTGGGCCATTGAGCTCCGCGAGCACGGCGGAACGGAGAATCAAAACAGCACCACGGATGAAATACGCAAGTGGACCCGAATGTCACGTGTGTTGTAGCCTTCTAGACGTGCGTACTCGCTTACATCGCGCTACCGTCTCAGTAATTGTCTTGCTGTATACAGCGCCCACTTTCATTTAATTAGCTTAACTCTATTTGCCCCCTTATTCCCCTCATAGTTCGATGTCTGGTTACATTTGTACAATTCGGTTGAAACCTCTTCTTCTCTCAATTTCTAACTACACCCTAGAAATCACCACTGGAAATACAAGCGTTGAATTTTCCCCAATTTAATTGTGCCACCCAGAATAAACTCGGGCAAGCCTAAAATCGGGATCAAATACATGTTGTCACAATGACACGAAGTTAGTGGCCTTAGTTACACTTGGCCTAAATTAATGCTCGTCTTTCATATTTCCACCTCTGCATGGAATTTGAAAGTCATGGTTGTATTTGTTCGGCCTCAGAACTTCGCCTTCTAGTTCAATATATTTTAGATGTTGGGGTCCGACTAGTCTATCATGCATTTTCGTTGTTCTGTGCATCTACAGTGGTTTTACATTCCTGAGTTTAATTCACACACCAGTTATCCTAGTGTCCCAAAACCGCATATCATAATCGAGTCGCATCTTTTCATCTTTTAGGTATCTTTCTGGCTGTTACGAGCTGAAGTACTGTTTAAATGCCCCGACGGTTTCACCAAACCCGACGAGTACTTCGTTCATATTGAACAATGGATTGAGACAAATTCGTGGACCACGGCAACTCGCGGATCCGCGCCATTTCATAGCTCGTACGATCAAGATTCCAGTCATCCAATTGCTTACAATGCCGTCGTATGTTATCGCCGTTCTTTTGCTTTATTTTGCCAATAGTGATTTATAGTTATCTTGTGAGAGTTAAATGGGAAGCGAAATTTCCCACTTTTCATATGCGTTACTGTGCATGTTCGTACTATGAACATTGGTTGACCCTGCTGAATCGACCATTGTGTTTACATCCCATCAGCAATGCAATAACTGCTTTCATTATTGTAAAAATACCAAGTAAAAATAATAAATAAACGAAATAACAATAATAAACTAATAAACTGATCAAAATAATAACAAATGTAGGGTAATGAGTAAAAATAATCAGTAGTCGCCTTAGCAGCATACTTGCCACCTCGATTGGTGGCGGCTTGCAAAGGAAGTCGTTGCTCTGGGGGCCAGCCCTGTTCTCTGCACATTCATAACATGCAAGACAGTGGAGGATGAACCGCGCTATATCGCAGTTAGATATCAGTCATGGCGGTCTGCTGTCGTCGCCCATGGCTCAGTGACATAAGTCGCTGACTCGCAAGTGTAAGGTCGTGGGTTCGAATCCGGCAAGATTCGGCGGGTGCGCGCTACTGACGAGTCCCAATAGGACGAAATGGGCCGTCTAGCGCTTTCCTGGATGTGTGGTGGCTGTCTGCCTGTGTCTAACTGCGACGAATCTACACAAAAATGCTTTCATCATCACCAATCAGGTTTCACATGGATATTGCTACCTAATTCCGCACAACTTTGTAACCATTTAACTTGTAGCACCCATTCACCGGTGCAACCGGTCTGAATGAAGCGTGGTTTCTTACATCCCAAACCTGTGCACTGGCACAAATGTGTAACCGTCTTCATCATCTTCTGGGATTTCCCAAACTCGCAACCCAAGAAAATCCCTGATATGCGCTGCATATCTTATCTAAATTGATGCTTTATGCGGACCTCGCATGTTTCCATCAAAACATGTGCAGATCTCGCCTGAGCCTGTTTCCCTAACAGGGTCAGCAATACACTGTCACCATACGGCAACTCAAACTGTGCAGATGACAGTGGAGCTCTCTTCTTTGGAACCGCTGTTTTTTGGCAACTCAACCCGCACAAAGTACCACGCATGCTTTCATCAAGGACATCACCCTGGTGGAATAACTATAGCAGAAATGGTGTCTGATAAGAAAAGCTGGGGAGAAATTCACACTTTTCTCAAGGTATAACCTAATCATTTTGAGACAAGGATAGACTAACAAAAAAATAGCATGTACTTTTTAGACGGGGAAAACACGTTCAGTTCCATGTTACAGTTGGCCAATCCGAGCACCACGATGAATTCATTTAAGTTATTACGTAACACTTGAAACGAAATTATTCTTGCTGTCTTTTCCTCACTTATGTTCAGGTTTTAACATTCCCTTGTTTAGCTGTTTTAATAATTCATTTTCGGTTAGCTGATGTCCCATATTGTTTCCGGTATCTTGTCGCGTGTCGCATCATCAAACACATGAAGAAACCACTGATTGTCAACCTGGCCGTCGACGCGGAGCGACCAGTACTGTTGCCATTCTGAGCACCGTAGACTCAGAAACGCAACACATAAACAAGGAGCCCCTTGAGTGAGGGAGCATAAGGGTACGGTAGAGGGCGAGAAGCAGGTGAGCAAGAATTGTGTCACGCAAGCAGCGTCAGATGTATGTTCTCATTGGTTCCACCGCAGAAATCGGATTGGTTGACTGTAACGTGGAAATGAGGGTGTTTTCTCCGTCTGGGACTGAAGGGTTATTTCTACACAAACCGTATCCTCGTATCAAAACGATAAGGAGAATAGGAAATGAACAAAAAATGTGCCATCAGCGCAGTGTTACCCATCCACTCATGTTGCGCAGACTTCACCTCATTGACACCAACCAATGACAACCCACATACCGTACTGACATCCACTTTACGCCAAAGCGTATGACTCGCGCTGCTATACTGTCGAGTTATAAGTACGAAGATGAAGAAGGTATATTTGTCTTTGGTTGAGTCAAGAAAAGAAGGAATCAGCAGTACACCGGTACGAAGTACCGATGCTTCGCTGCCGCGCGACCACCACCAGTTGCACGTGGGCTAAGGATACTTTGTGGGTCGCCCTGTTCATACGCTGTCTCAAACCCGCTTCGTCAGATTACGAGGCAAGTTTGTTAGCTTTAGGTTGCGGGCCGGCTGAGTCAGCTATCTGTCAGACCATCTTTCTGGGTCCCGAGTGCAGCCTTGCGAAAGTGCGCATTTCGTCTCTCGTTTCAGCTCACGTGTACACACATTTGGCGGCTAGACCTCTTAAACCCCTTGGGGTACTATCAGCAAAAGCTGTTATATCTCTTCTGACTAGCCGAGTAGACAAAAAACCACTTTGCAACCAAATTATTCAGCTAAGACCGAAAATAACTGACAAGAAGTCAAACCGTGTAACCGATATTTTGAGTTAGTGGTTTGTATGGGCCTCTTAGCATTCATCCATTGTATACCTCCCTTAGTGATAATTCAAAGATAACCACACCAAATATAGATGTTCGCAACATGTCTATGTCGTTCAGTGCGCATCTTAATCACCGATTGACCTGGGAGTCCTGTTTACGTAGCCTTAACAGTTTTCGTTTATTCAGCTCCCTTGATTCATGTGTGCGTAAAACGCTGCGTAATATGATGTCGTTAGTTTGCACGTGTCGTTTTAAGCGGTATTTACTCGTTATTTCAAGCAAGTCGCAACTTGTTGGTACGCAGTTGTACTGGATGCACAAATTGATGTGCTGCATACATTTTGGCGTCGCTAGATGCAAGTAAGTAGTACCGTTAGCCAGTTCCATCCCTGTTGGTTGAGTTAACTACAGTGGAAACGCCTTTCTCATGGCTTCTAGGCATAATGTTATATATATATATATATATATATATATATATATATATATATATATATATATATATATATATCTGTAGTTCCACGAACGACTCTTAACCCTCTTATTCCCTGGTGTTTTACTTGGATTTTTGATATGCTTTCGACTATATCTTTTTTTGTGGAAAATCTTCGCAGTTAAACAGCCACCGTATATCCAGGAAAGCACTAAACGGTCATTTCGTCCTGGTAGGACTCGTCGGTAGCGCGCACCCGCCGAATCCTGCTGAATTCAAACACACGACCGTACCCTTACAAGCCAAGGAGTTATGCGACTGCGCCATAGGCGACTGCAACGGACCGCCATGACTGATATCTAACTGCGATATAGCTCGGCTCATCCTCCTCTGTCATGCATAGTATGAACGTGCAGAGGACAGGGCTGGCCCCCAGAGCAACGGCTTCCTTTGCAAGCCGCCACCAATCGAGGTGGCATGTAAGCTGCTAAGGCGACTACTGATTATTTGTAAGTAGTAGGGGGATTTATTAGGTTTTTGTGTAGGTTCGTCGCAGTTAGACACAGGCAGACAGCCACCACACATCCAGGAAAGCGCTAGACGGCCGTTTCGTCCTATTGGGACTCGTCAGTAGCGCGCACCCGCCGAATCCCACCGGCTTCGAACCCACGACCTTACTCTTGCGAGTCAGCGACTTATGTCACTGCGCCATAGGCGACGGCAGCGGACCGCCATGACTGATATCTAACTGCGATATAGCGCGGCTCATCCTCCTCTGTCATGCATAGTATGAACGTGCAGAGGACAGGGTTGGCTCTCAGAGCAACGATTTTCTTTACATGCTGCTACCAATCGAGGCGGCATGTTAGCTGGTATAGCGTTCACTGATACTTATAGAGTAGTAGGGGGGTTGTTGCGTTTATGTACAAATTCGTCGCAGATAGACTCAAGCAGACAGCCATCACGCATCCAAGGAATCACTAGATGGCGGGTTCGCGCTACTGACGGGTCGTAATAGGGCGAAACGACCGTCTAACGCTTTCCTGGATGTGTGGTGGCTGTCTGACTGAGTATTGCTGTGACGAATCTTCACAAAGACCTAAGAACTCCTCCTACTACTCACTAATATTCTTTTCCTAGTTCAGTTCCTTTATTTCACTCTTCACTCTAAGGTTACTAAGAAACGAAACGTGGACACCGAATGTCGCGTTTCCTTTTCTTTATTCCCCATGTTTGTGTTCCGGCTTGCGAGTATTGTGCGGAATGACTATGCGGTACAGGTTACTCTTTTTGTTTGTTATCCGGCCGGCGCTAGTCATTTTCCTCAGTCACCCGGCCCGCCGTGAAAAAATTAAGTGACCTCTGCACACTAGCAGAAGAGGCATCAGTGACACGCCGGTACCACGTGCCGGCGTTTTGCCATCATGCGACCACCAGCAAAAGTTGCGCGCGGACCACGGATACCGCGCGGTCGCCTGCACCTAAGCGGGCTGGAACCAGTGATCTGTGGGTTACAGTTCAGACACCTTATCCACCGACTCACCATCTGCTGCCATGCCAGTAGACAATAAAACAATCCAATGTTGGGAGAACATTTACTTGCTGAGAACGCAAATTAATGGATTGCATTTGGAAGATCCCAACGATCTATTCGTCGCTTTTGACGCTACCTCGCATTGAGTCGCTCGAGATGATTGCGTGGATGATTTTGTCAAACTTCCGTAGGCTGTAAATGTTCCCGTTTCCTGCACTGTTCTATGCCATGAATAGGTAGGTATGCATATATGCTTTTTCAGTGCTGAGCACTTGTGCATAACCGTGACTGCAAAATATGCTTATCTTCTTTACATCGCAAGGAAACGAAAGCACTACACCATTTCCCGGCCAAGTTGTCCTCTTGGGCAACAGAAATAATCTGAGGGGCATTCAACATGAGTCTACTCAACTAATTTGTTCCGTGCGTAGGAGCTGAAGCGTCCCACCTGCACCCCTATGACTTAGTGCGTCTGAGGTCCAATTGGCTGAAGGCGACGGGCTATACACGCACGCCTACACACCTGCACAAGTGACTGGCGTACGCACGGAACAAATTAATTGATTAGACTCATGTTGAATGCCCCCTCAGATTATTTCTGTTACCCAAGAGGACAACT